AGAGGAAAGAATGATGGGGGATCCCTACTTCATACCAGAGACAAAAATTTATGCAAAATGAATCAAAACCCTAAATGTAAAGGCTAAAAGGACTATAAAACTCTTACAAAAAAACATAAACCATGACCTTGGAGTCAGCAATATCTTAGACAGGATACCAAAAGCACAAGAAATAAAAGAAAAAAACAGGCAAATTGAACTTCATTAACATTTTTTAATGCTTTGCATTATCAAAAATGTGAAAAGAGAACCTGAGGAATGGAGGAAAATATGTGCAAATCACACTGATGACAGCACAGACCACCCCAACACGTCACAAAAATAATCTCAGCATATTAGAGACAAGCAAATCAAACCCACAATAAGATACCATTTGACATCCTCATTAGGACAGTTATAAAAAGAAAGATGTTGATGAGGACACAGAGAAAACTAACCCTCCTGCATTGCTGGTGGGAAGGTAAAATGGTACAGCCACTGTGAAAACAGTTTGGTGGTTCCTCAAAAAGTTAAACACAGAGGGCCTCCCCGGTGGCACAGCGGGTTGAGCACAGCACTGTGAGGCTGTCCGCAGCCTCCACAGCGCGGGTTCGATTCCTGGCCGGCCAGAGATTCCCACATGGCATGGCAGACCTCTCCTGTCTTACCCGCTGCTCCCCTCAGCAGTGCTTTCGGTCTGTCTGCCTGTTCTGCTCCCGGCTCTGTCTCTGGTGAATCCCCTCACCCTCCCACGCCTCTGGCCTGTACCCCAGCTCTTGTATAAATAAAAAATAAATCTTTATTAAAAAAAAAGTTAAACAGGGCCTCCCCGGTGGCGCAGCGGTTGAGCGCTGGGTTGCGAAGCTGCCCGTGGCCTCTGAGGCGCCGGTTCCATCCCCGGCTGCTCCCTGGTCTCACATGGTGCGCAGACCTCTCCTGCCGCCCGCTGCTCCCCTCAGCAGTGTACTTTGGTCCTTCTGCCTGCTCTGCTCCCCACTCTGGTGAATTCTCTCACCCTCCCGCACTTCTGACTATACCCAGTACATGAATAAACAAAACAAACAAATAAATAAATAAAACATGCCTCTATTAAAAAAAATTAAAAAAAAAAAGTTAAACACAGAATTAGCTCATGACCCAATAATTTCATTCCTAGGTTCATATACAGAAGAACTGCAAACAGACACTCAAACACCTATGCACAGATGTCCACAGCACCATTCACAACCACCAAAGATTGCCACAACCCAAATATGCACCAACAGGGGTACTAAACAAGGCACACGTGTATAATATAATGGGGTCCCAGAGAGGACAAGGCAGTTCTTCAAAAGACAAAGTAAACAAGAGTTACCAGATGACCCAGTGATTCTGTGCTCAACTATGCTCAAGAGAATCAAAACATACGTTCACACAAGAGCTCGTAAACAAATCCTATAAGCAGCATTACCCAGTAGAACCAAAAATTCAGAAACAACTCAAACATCCATCAGCTAACAAATGGATAAACAAACTGGCACACCATACAATGGAATACTACTCAGGCATAAAGTTATTAAGTTCTCATACAGGCTACAAGATGGCAAAAACTATTATGCTGAGCAAAAGAAACCAAACATAAAAGGCCACCTACTGTAGGATTCTAACTATATAAAATATCCAGGTGGGCAAATCGCTATAAACAGAAAGTAGATCAGCAGTTCCAGGGCCTGGGAGGAAGGTGAAATAGGGAGTGACTGATAATGGGTACAGACTTTCTTTACATTGTAAAGAAAATGTTCTGGAACTAACTTTGTAAATATGCTAAAATCACTGAACTGTACGCTTCATAACGGTGATTATTGTGCCATATGAATTATATTTCAATTTTTATGCTTAATTTTCAAATTTGGTTTGCAATAGGTCAGTTAAAACCCAAAATTCTTCATTTTGCATTTGTCTGAATTACTGAAGGTGGACAGCTAATATCACAGACATAAAAGTGAAAAGCACAGTTACTAGAAGCAGCTGAGCCAGAGTCTCAGGTGAACACCACGAGCACTGGCACCTGTACTGGGTAGTGGTGTGGATTAAACACTGAGAGGGCGCCCCCTTCCAAAGTTCAACTGAAATGATTACATTTCCCAAGTCATGAAGGCTGTTTAAGTCTTATTTCCTCCACCTGCAAAGCTCACTGTGTAACAGTATCAACCTTCTCTCTCCTCATTCTCTGTTCTTTCCACACAGATGATCTCAGCTGGAGGAAGAGGAACACTAAATAGTGTTAAATAGCTAGATCAAAGAAACTGTAAATGATGGACAGCTGCAAACATGATTCCCTCTCCTCAACAACTCCAACACTTTAGGTACCGAAGAAGTACCTGAGGAATTTAAGAAATCAAAGTTTAAAAGTTAGGGTCAGAACCGGTTGTCCTATGGGTGGGGCTGCAGTGAGAATGCCACCAAGATGAACCTTACTAAGCAGTAGAACTTTCCAGGCCCTTTCCAGTTTTCTGCATTTTCAAATGAAAGATTCAGAGTGAGGGCATGCTGGCCTAGGGTAAAGGACTGTGGGTGCTTGGATCAGGTGGGTGGTATGTGACATCCATCTGAGATGTTAACCTATTCCCTAAGTCATGTACAGTATTGTAAACCAAAATTGAGGGGGTGGTCAATGCATAACTTATTTCACTGCCTTAAAAACATTATTCCTTTTACAAACTGCAGGTCTGTGGCAGCCTTTCGTGGAGCAAGCATTCACTTCAGATCTGTGTCTGATTTACTTCAGATCCATTCGTTGTCTTTTTAGACATAATGCTAGTGTACACTTATCAGACTACAGTAAAGTTAAACTTTTACATGCACTGGGAAATGAAAAAAATCCATGACTTGCTTTATTACAGTATTTGCGTTATTTGTAGTCTAAAACTGAACCCCTAAAATCTGAGGTGTGCCTGTCACTATAAAGAGAAATAAAGTGGTAATAACTGATTATTAAACGTCTCAGCACGAAAAGCTTGGAAACGTAATTCACCTTAGAAGACTGCAACAGAAACAATCAGAAAAATCTGGACACTCAAACTGAACTGCATTTTGTGACCACAGAAATACATCCTGAGAAAAGATCAAAACCTGTTCTGTATTGGATAAACACAAATTTTTGCTAACCAAAATAAACACATAAATAAAAAGCAAAGACTCACTAATATACTTTTTCAGCGAAGAGCTAGGAAACATCTACATAAGAATGGCCCATGGTAAGTGGCCCACTCCACAGTCATAAAGTAAAAACCTCTGGGGATGAGCATAGCAAACTTATTTCCAACGTGAATTTTAAACACATCAAGTTCGAGAATCACTATCTTAAAAAGTTCAACAAGAGGAACCTGCAGTCATGTAAGGTACAGTAATCCGAGATAGAGACCACACCTATGTTATGTGGACTACGTCCCTGGAAGCTTAGAACCCTGATCCTGTCTGGGGTTCACTGCACCCCACTCCACTTTGAACACCCAAATACGTGTTATACATGTTATTTAACACAGAATGGCACACATGACCAAGTGGTGGCTGACTTATATTCAAATCCAGTAGAAAGTTTTCTTTCAACACAAGGAAAAAGAGACATTGTTTCTATTCATAGTTATTTCTTCTGTAACTGAATAAAGGATTGAATTTGGGGTAATAAGGGCATGACTGAAGATGCCCTCATTAAATGAAGCCTAAAAAATGACAAATATTCTTTGAATAATTTCAAGCATCAACAAGCAAATGTATGTAACTGTTAAATGCTAGGGTGGTTGTTAGCACAATGGTAAGAGCTTTACTTTTCTACCTTCCCCTCCCAATTTTGCTGTTTTAGGCACTTAAACTATTTTGTGTAAGAAAATTCCTTCTTGATTTTAAACTATTGATGCTGAGATACTCTATATCCCAGGTTCTTTTACTGCCTCGTGTTTAAAAAGCACTGAGAATCTCTTACAAGTACATGAAAAGTCTCGGGTTTATACCCAATACCTCCAAATCAATACCAAAGATGATGTCATTTCATCTCCATTTCAAAAATACACACGCTTTTATGATAAAAGTCCCAACATCTTAAAAGATTATCTAGTTACCGTGAGCAATATTCACTCAGAATATTTCCTGAGGAGCTACTACATACCCCAGCCTGTTCCAGAGGCTAGAAACAAACACAGCTGCGGACAAGACATGCTCAACAGCCACTGAACATCATTTATTATGCTGAAGACTCGGGCTCCAGTAATTACAAATACTACCACATCAGTCGGCAGGATTCAGCAGGATCTATACCACTCCTACAGCAGACCAGAGAAATCTTGTCCTGAAATAATAACTGCTGTTAACTACTTAAAAGCAGAGAAGTCTCTGATTTCCCAAGTTCCCCCTGGTGGGATATACTCTCTTGGCTTCTGGACTTTACATCCTTAAGATGTGATATTAACATCGACGCTTTCACGTGGTGGCCAGATAGAGCCACGCACCTCACAGAATACGACAAAAAACCGTCCCTTCCGAGCAGGAAAAAAAAAAATCACTGAAAAACGAAAGCACTTCCAGTCAATACCCTAAGCAACCTGTAAAATGCGTTTCTCTGAACTCTGATTAAAGCCCTCGGGTTCCGCCTCTGCCAGGGCAGGCAGAAAGCAGCGAAAAGGAAACGCTTGCCCAGTCACCCTAGAAATAATGCCGTGTTCAAAATTTCTGCGCACGGACGACGGTGTCATCGCCGAGACCCACCTTGGAACCGCCAGGGGCGAGGACGCCCCGTCTCCACCAGGGGCCAACCCGGCCTGCTCCGGAGCCCGGGCCCTCGGCGCGGTCCCGCCGCGGTGCGGCGCTGCCCGGGGTCGCAGAGCGGGGCGGCCGGGCCCGCTGGGCCCGCGGGCTGGAAGCGGCCTCGCCGCGCCCCGGCGGACCGCGACCCCCAGGTGCCCTTGGCCGCGCGGCTGGGCCCCGCGCCCGCCGCCGCCCGCCCAGGCCCGCCCGCCCGCAGGCCTCAAGGCCCGCCGCGCCCTCACCTGCGTGCCCACCACCACGATCTGAGGCAGCTGGATGATGTCTGCGCCCACCGTGTTGAAGACGTCCTGCAGCTTGTTGATGACAGGAATGAGCGCCTCCATGACTCGGGAAGCGCGGCCCCGCCGCCAGCCGCCCGCCCGCCCGGCCGCGGCAATGAATGGGCCGGGCCGCGTCCGCCGCCGCCCTCGCCGCCGCCCTAATAGCGGAGCCGGCGCCCATTGGCCCCGCCCGCCGCCGGCCTCCCGGCAGGCCCCGCGCCGCGCCCCGACGCGCCAGCGGCCTGCCGGGAGCTGTAGTTCCGGCGGGGGCGGCGCCTACGGCTCCCGGCAGGCCGCGCGCGGACGGGCGCTCCCCGCGCAAGAGGCGGGCCGACACGCGCGAGCGCCCGTCCTCGGAACGTCGTGGGCGTGCGCGCGCCCGGGCCCGGGGCGTCGTGGCGTGCGCGCGTCGGGGGAGTGTGTGGCGGCGGCGCCCAGCTGGTCTGGAGGCGGTCACGGGAGGAAGCCGTTCCCCGGTGGGCGCGCCCGGCTAGGGCAGCGCGTGCGGTTCTGCCGAAGCACAGCAGCCAGGGCTGCAGCGGCTTCGCCAGCGTTGCAGTGAAAACATGCCCAGAACACTGGAGGGCAGGGCGCCTCCCCCCAACCCCACGCGCTTGAGTCCCGCGGGGGTGCTGAGCCCGCCTCGCTGGCTCCTCTGCCACATGAGTTCACTGCTCTCTTCCTAAGTGTCGTTTTTCTTTTTGGGTAGTATTTCTCCACTCCACATCTCCAGTTTCCTGTCTCAGCGTTTTAAAAAAAGTAGCAAGTGCAAGAAGCCCCTTCCCTATCTTTCTCTACAGGGGGGAGGCTTTGAGGGGCACGGAGGCCTTGGCCTTTGCCAAGTTTTAGGACCAGCCCCTCCTGATTCTTCTGGGGGGAAAAAAGCATGACACAGATGTTTCAGAGCTCCACCAATCAGAGCCGCAAAAGAGAGTCTCCCAAGGTAGTAGTACGTGATAGGTGTGCCCCACTTTGCTTCTCCACCGCGTGCTCATCAGGTTTTCTTCTGCTTTTCAGAGCTGTATGTGCCTGCCAAGAAGAAAATGCCGAGGGAGTTTTTCTGGAGTAAATCTTATTCTGGAACTCCACAATTATGGTGGGAGCCTACCTTTGGGCAAAAGCACAAATACACACACTCTCTTCCTACTTGCTGATGGCAGGATTACAAGAGGAAGCACACCTGTTCCAGAAAGAGGACTGTCATGAATTTTGCATGCATTATGTATTTTCATTTAAGTTATAAGCCATCTCTTGGGATGGAACATACAGAGCCTCATAATAACAGATGTCAGGAAGCACCCCTATGTTTATTGTAGCACTATTTGTAATAGGTAAAACCTGAAAACAGTCCAGATGACTGGATCAAGAAGATGTGGTCTAAATAAACAGGATCACAAGTGAAAGAGGAGAAATCACAACGGACACAGCAGAAATCAAAAGAATAATCAGAAACTACTATGAACAGTTATATGGGAACAAGTTCAACAATGTAGAGGAGATGAACAAATTCCTACAACTCTACAATCACCCAAAGCTAGATAAAGAAGAAATGGAACACCTAAACAGATCAATTACAAGCAGTGAAATTGAAATGGTAATCAAAAACCTTCCCAAAAACAAAAGCCCAGGACCTGATGAATTTACAAATGAATTCTACCAAAGGTTCAGAAACAAATTAGTGCCTATCCTTCACAAACTCTTCCAAAAAATTGAAAAGGAAGGGATAATACCAAACACATTCTATGAAGCCAACATTACACTGATAACAAAAACAAACAAGGACAACATAAAAAAAGAAAACTACAGGCCAATCTCCCTAATGAACACTGATGCAAAAATCCTCTATAAAATTTTAGCTATCAGAATCCAACAATGTATCCATAAGATAATTCACCACGACCAAGTAGGATTCATTCCAGGAACAAAAGGATGGTTCAACATCCAAAAATCAATCAATGTCATCCAACACATCAACAAAAGTAATATAAAAACCATAAGATAATATCAATAGATGCAGAGAAAGCTTTCGACAAAGTGCAACACCCATTCATAATAAAAGCCCTTGAAATTCTTGGGATACAAGGAACATAACTCAACATCATAAAGGCCATCTATGACAAGCCAACAGCCAGTATCATTCTCAATGGTGAAAAGCTGAAAGCATTGCCATTAAGATCTGGAACAAGACAATGCTGTCCACTCTCACCACTGCTTTTCAATATAATACTGGAAGTCCTAGCCAGAGCAATAAGACAAGAGAAAGACATACAAGGAATCCAAACAGGAAAAGAAGAAGTCAAACTATCACTATTTGCAGATGATATGATAATATACATAGAGAACCCCAAAAACTCCACAGAAAAACTAATTCAACTAATCAATCAGTTCAGTAAAGTGGCAGGATACAAAATCAACATGCAAAAGTCAGTAGCCTTCCTATACACAAACAATAAATCTGAAGAAGAGGAAATAAAAAAACCATCCCTTTTATTATCGAAACAAAAAAATCAAATACTTGGGAATAAATCTAAAAGAGGTAAAGGGATATAGGGGCGGAGCAACATGGCGGCGAGGAGACGCTGCGAGTAAGATCTCCCATTAAAAAAAGTTAATAGGGAGGAAAAGCGGCAGGTCCCAGTGAGAAGTGGGACACAGAAGATAAACGGGTGACTCCAGCAAACTACCGAAGAAGAAAGTGGCCATAAAAGAGGACTAGAAGGGAGGGAAGCGCAGAACCCTGCTCCCCTCCCCCGCCCACAGAGGCAGCACTCTCCGACTGGCAGAGAGGAGGAAAACAACAAACTAAAACGACCCACAAGAACAAACGACGCAGCAAGCGGGACCGGGAGTGGAAAGGAACTATTGCAGCCACCACACCCCGTGAACGGGAGCTGAGGCGAACCCTGCAGGATCCGCCGCGGCGGTGAGCGAAGGGCTCCGGGCGCCATTAGAGAAGAACAAAGACCCCGGGAGACCCGCACACAGCCCGGGCTGCCTGTAAGCTGGCGCGGAAACGCGGCGCGCTCGGGGAGCTTGAAAAGCAAGTGCAGACCTGGATCGCGGCTGCCCAGGTCCCCGCGCCTGCGACCTAGGCTTGCGGGGAGACGACCTAGGCTTGCGGGGAGACGCGCGGAGGTCCTCACTGAGGTGAAGGTCCCTCCCTGAGTAAGCAGGAACCAGGCGCCCAGGCACGGGAGCGGTGCAAAAGGCGCCATTCCCGCGCCACTGAACTGGGCTACAGCCCGCGTCCTGGAACTGAGGGCTTTGAACTGAGACCCGGGGCACGAAAATTCGGGGCGTGGGTTCTCCACGATGGTGGGGCACAAGGCAGACACAGCACCCCAAAGCTGTTGAGGTGTACCCTACCATTCCCGCTCTGTTCCCTGTCCCACGGGGTAGGGGGAGGCGAAAAACAGCCCCCCAAGGACAATAGGAGAGATCTCTGGCGCCACCTAGCGACCTGGAAAAAAAAGTCACTAACACCCCATAAAACAGGAAATTTCTTAAGACTGCTTGAAAAGGGCAGAAGGCTTCTGGAGGACCCAGTGGCCAGCCGGGAAGTTATTCCACGCCAGGCCCCTTCCGACCAGCAGTCTGAGCCCACAGAGGGAGCAGGCACCCACGTCCAGGGCAGACCGGGTGCGCAGAAGAGTGTGCCTGAACCCGGAGGCGCAGGGACTGCATCCCGCTTCGCTATTTGAGAACAGGGACATTTCTTCAGTAAAAACTGCCTAAAACCAGCAGAAAGCTCCCCCAGAAGACAGAGATGGCTCCTGGAAGAGCCAGAGGGGAGCGGAGAAGTTCACCCAAGATGTCAGTCAGTCCGAGCAACACAGTGTCCCAACGCATACGACAAATTAGAAAACAGACAGTAGGGAGTAGAAGAACCACACGCAACCTAACAACTCAGGAAAGAAGCACACCACAAAAAGAAAACCACTCCCCAGATTGCAACGACAGCAACTTGGAAGAACTTCTGAGCCTTCCAGAAAGAGAATTTAAAATTGCCATGATTAAAAAAGTGATAGATCAGAAGAAGGAAATTGAGTCCCTAAAGAGGGAAAACAATGGTCAGAAGAATGAAATTGAGTCCCTAAAGAGGGAAGTAAAAGAAATGCAGGAGATCAAAGAATTAATGGAGGAACTAAAGAACTCCGGGAAAAGCAAGGAAAGCAGAATAGATGAAATGGAAGAACGAATAAGTTCTCTTGAAGACACAGAAATAAAAAGAACCAAAACAGAAAAGGAAAGAGAAGTACGAAGGAAAAAGAATGAAGAAAGACTTCGGGAACTATCTGACTCCATGAGGAAAGGAAATATAAGAGTTATAGGAATTCCAGAAGGAGAGGAGAGAGATGTAGGAACAGAGAAAATATTCCAGGAGATAATTGAAGAGAACTTCCCAAATGCGAAGAAGGAGCTGAAAATTGATATACAAGAAGCAAGAAGAACACCAAACTTCCACGACGAAAGGAAAAACACAGCAAGACACATAATAGTAAAGCTCCCAAGAATCCAGGACAAGGAAAAAATAATGAAGCTGACAAGAGGGAAGAAACAGATAACATTCAAAGGAAAACCAATCAGGCTGACATCAGACTTCTCTGAAGAAACACTACGGGCAAGGAGAGAGTGGAGGGACATAGTCAACAGACTCCAAGAAAACAGATGCCAACCAAGAATACTCTATCCCGCAAAGCTCTCTTTCCTTCATGAAGAAAGAATATGGACCTTCCCAGACAAAGAGAAACTCCGGAATTTCATTACAAATAAACCCCCACTCCAAAAAATACTACAAGGAATCCTAAAGCCAGAACCTCAGAGGGACGAATAACAACGAAAGAAGAGCAAAAAAAAAAAAAAAAAAAGTCATTAAAAGAATAAATAAAATCAAAGGAAACACAAACATAATGGCAAATACAGATGCTAACGTATCAATATTAACTCTAAATGTAAATGGACTAAACTCTTCAATAAAAAGACACAGAGTTGCAGCCTGGATTAAGAAACAAAACCCAACCTTTTGCTGTCTCCAGGAAACACATTTAGCTACAAAAGATAAAAATAGGCTCAAAGTCAAAGGATGGAAAACAATCCTACAAGCAAATGGGCCAAAA